TCGGTTGCCTGTTAGGATAGGGTTTGAGACTCTGAGCAGTGGCATTATATGCATGATGTAGGAATAACAACAGCTTCGTTCACTCAAGGCCCTCTATCAGTCAATGTCCCTTTTGTTTCTAGCTCTGAGCGTTGTGATGGGATCTCTGAAGGTATCAGCCTGAAACTCCAGGCAGCTGGAAACAATAGCATGGAGAAGGCTCTCCCTCAGTTAGGTGTTTACTCTGAAACTTAATGATGAGCATTGAGCTGTCTATACTATTAATGTTTGCAGTCTTTTGAATGGAAATAGCTAGTAAATATGTACTGAGGCCCCATAAACCATATTTGTGTAAACCTTAAACCCTACAAGCCTGTACTACCTCCATTTATAATGTTCTTACACTGCTGCATCTGGACCCTGAGAAGGGAACTTCAAAAAGGAAAGGCTCGCTCAGTATGGGAAGATATGTTAGCTATTAGGTATTCTGGTAAATGGCTCTGGTGCACTGGAAGGAAAGGAGAGGAATTTTGGAGCTTTAGGTACTGGAAAACATTGCTGGGTATATTATGCGTTTTCTGTGTGGCTTTGGGTGAAGTACTTTGGCCTTGATTTTGTACCAGGAAAGGAAATGGGAGTGTAGCTACTGACTTCAGTGGGACGGACCAGGATGCTGGTCTCTCCAGAATTTCTAAGCTTCCCATCTGGATGGAAATTTTCTTTTAAGACCTTACTGCTTTCCATTTACAGACTTCGAGCGCTCCACAGAGGTTGTCTGAGTGGGGCTTCCCGTGCCGTGCAGGTCGGAGGCATCCTGCTGCCCTTCCTGGGTCTCTGGCTCCCAGGCAGACCACCTCGCAGGCTGGGTCCTGCTCCCTCAGGCAGAGTGTTTTCAGTTTCCAGGGCAGGGAAGTACTTGGCAGAAAGTGGGGGTTTTTTGGCCGAAGTGACACCAAAGTATGAACTATCCAATTACTACACTAGGAACTGCAATGTTCTGGTTTTACTTGCCACTAACAACCATGTCAGCTCATTTGTTTAGATCATGTCTCTTGCAGTGGTCTCTCTAAACAGGTGGCTCTGCAGTGGCTATCATCTCAAGCCCTGTTTTTGCTTGAGGCTTAATATTATTACTGTAAAACAAATAATATTTAAGCATCATATTTTGCATCCCCCGACATGTATATATTGATGGGAAGTTTGATTAAAAAGGGAGAAAGGAGGGGAAAAGGAAACATTATCAGAACTTTTGGTTGAAAGTCAGAGCACTAAAAAAAAAAAGAAAGTTTCACAGTAACCCTGATTCTTTCTCTGCTTGTTATGTTTTCCATCCTTACTCATAATTCTAGGACTCCATCCCAGCCCCAACCCAAGCAGTATTGACAGGAAAGGATTATCCGCAGGAATTTGACATATTTACATACAGAGAGAGCCAAAGGAAAATCTTTCTGAGTGGAACAAAGCCAGCCTTATTTGAACTAGCTTCTTCCTCTAGAATAGTGGATGGACACCAGGGTGGGGCGCAGGAGTTAACTGTGTAATACTTATTCATTCCATCATAGCTTTTTCTAAACAGGATATTTGGTAAAATGAGAAATTGCTTCTTTCACTTTTATTACTCTCACAGCGTAATTGGAATCACTTGAGAAAAGATTTGTCCCCCCATGCTAAGATGAGCATCTCGATGGCATAGTCTTGGAAAAGATTTTGAGATGTATTATTTGTATATTCATAGCAGCCAAAGAAACACCTGCTACATAAGCTCCAACATAAAAAAACCCCAGAGTACAGGGATCTCTTTGTCTGAGGTCTAGCGGGCTACAACTGTGACGCTGCATTAGCCCCGAATAGCTCCAGGGTTTAATATTTGCATTATAAATGCAGGAATCATCCAACTCTGCACTTACAAACAGATTTCTGAGTTCACTTTCTCGGTGCATGAGCAAGCATTGACTCCTGACAAGATATATTATGTTGGAAGCTTGCAACATATTGTGTACTAGAGATTCTGGAAAGGTTTTACTGTGTGAGCAAGCAGAAAATACTTTTTGCTTTGGTGTCCAAGGCGGAATTGCTCTTTGAGCATCCTTAGTCAGTGTTGGACTAAAGGGGTTATTGGGAGAAGGAACTGCTTTCTATACTCTTTGACCATCTCATACCAGGATTTACAAATAAGTATTGATGAAGTCCCACCTGTAAATATTCTGATTGCACCTCAGGCATCTGTGAATATCTGCTTATGGTTGCCAGAGGATGACAATGACTAAAATGCACACAGGAAGGGCAGGGTAGCAGAGGACCAACAGGGATTAGCGTTGCACAGTGCTATTTATCGTAGACGTCTGGGATTAAGACCAAAACCCAACCAGCCACAGATTCCCTTCCACCACAAACTGGAAAGCAGGATGTACCATCTGAACACGGGGAAAAACTTTACTTTGAGGGTGACAGAGCACTGGAACGGGCTGCCCAGAGAGGTGGTGGAGTCTCCTTCTCTGAAGATATTCAAAACCCACCTGTGCAACCTGCTGGAGGTGACCCTGCTTTGGCAGGGGGTTTGGAACAGTTGATCTCTGAAGGTCCCTTCCAACCCCTACCATTCTGTGATTTCCCCCTCCCCAAATATCTATAAACTAAGCAGTTGATGACACAAGAAATGGTCTGGGTGCCAGTTATTATTAGCTAAATGGGGCAGAATAAGTAGCAGTTGCTTCTAGAATCGGCCCAGCACTGGGTGAAGGTGTTTTCAGGGGTGGTATCGCATTGATTGCCATGATATCACATTGATTGCTGTGGTATCACGTTGATTGCCATGATATCACGTTGATTGCCGTGCTATCATTGTTGATTGCTATATCACGTTGATTGCCATGGTATCACAGAGCATTACACAGGGAACAGGAGCCGGTGCCCGGCCTTCCCAAGCAGGAGGCGCCAGGCTGGCACCTTCCCGGCTCCTGCCCGGGGAAGGAGTTCCAGTGGGTGGGACAGACAGACAGACGGACGGACGGGCAGACAGACGGCACAGCCCTCCCCGAGCCGCCGCCTGCCATACCGCGCCGCCGCCACAGGGGGGCGCCCGCCGCCCAGCCCCCGGAGCCGTGCCGGGGGGCGGCCCTGCGGCCCCGCCAGGAGCAAACGGGTCCGTTCTCTCCACAAAACGCCGCTTGAAGATTGTTTTATTATTTCTCCAACGCCTCTTTTCCCTGCAATCCTCCCTCCTACCGTTCAGTCTCTCTCTCCCAGGACGTTTTACCTCGGATCGTCACCCTTCTCTCTTGAAGTGCTCCCGAGCTGCGAGGCCGGTCCTTGGCAGCCCCAAGCAGAAGGGAGGGTCCTAAAAAAACTGGCTGTTTTTAGGTTGGTCTGGTGGTTTGTACATCTCAGCCTTTTTTTTCCCCCTGTAGTCATTTAACTTCTCTGCAGCTCTGTTCACGCTACCAGCTGAGGACGGCAAAAAGACTAAATCGATAAATCCATTTTAAAATTAAACCTCTAACACACACATTGAGGCCCCCAGAAACCCTTCTTGGTTATGGGTTATTTCACTGGAGGCAGTGGTCCAAGCCCTGCTGGGAGAAGTCCCTGTGGCTGCACAAGATTAATATCTCCATCAGGTTTGGCAGCGTAGCTATCTGGGTGAGCCCTTTCAAGGGTGATTAAGTCCACAGCACCTCAGCCTAATGGGCTCTCCATTTATATAAGATGAGAGCCGAAAATGAAGACAAATGTTAATGAAGTGGCTCGATCAGTACCTCATCAATCAGGTGGACGGTTTCCGCTGCAATCTGTTACTGTAACAACATGTTATTGATTAAATACTAAGGGTGTAAAAGAAATTTGGCAACACAAACTATGTCTTGCTTGAGACCTTCTCTACTGATTTTATTGGTAAGCATGAAAACAATAGTGGAGAGCAGCACTAGGGCTGGATGTGCTCTTTTGGATGTGCATTTATAAGGGAAATTAGGAGGCGTTTGTGTTCAATGAGGCTGTCAAACCAAATATAAAAGCTGAACCTCCAGCCCACCAAGGGATCCTGGTCACTGTGCCTGCCTTTAGCCATATTATTTACAGAGAATTATTGTTCCTGTTTAGTGAAATGTCATTTCAATAGCTTGCCATAGAATTTAAGTTATTAGAAGTGTTAAGTGGTAATTTTTCATTTAATCTTTGAGATCCAGCTTGGCACAGCTGCCCTGCTGGCTTTGCACCAGCTTTAAATTCCCTCACCATGCTGTTACTACTCTTGAAAGCCACTGCGTGCTCATCACCAGCTTCAGGTCAACCTGGTGAACAGGTTACATCAAATCTCTTTTAGATGGAAGGGCTTGTGTGCTCCCCTGGTGAGCATGCAGGTAGTCTACTATCTCTGTGACTCTGGCCTCGGGGACTACCAGGACGTGATGATGCCCACACTCCTTTATTAGCAGTACAGGGGAAATAAGATTTGGCTCCCACCCTCTCACCATTCCAAAGCTGTTTATATGGCAAGCTTGGAGTCATCTTTGCCAGCAATCAAAATGAAGTCACCCATTCCCAAAGTTTTGAAAGCCAGGCATCCTTCTTGAAGATGGTTATCAGTATATGGGCCTTGTAACCCAGTGTTCAAAGCTATCCGAAAGGAGCAGCCACCTTGGAAAGATTACCTAGGTAGGTCCTTTCTGTACATTACTTCTGTTCTACATGCTTCGGGCATTCAGAAAGCCTTACCAAGGCATTGCTGGTGGTGTCTGCCACGGCATTCCTTCAGTGCATAAATCACCTGTTTCACACCTGGCATCGTGGATTTATGTGCACTCTGGTCAATACCACTGCACTGAACTGGCTCAAATCCTGTTTCCAGGAGTTCCTCTGTAACCACAACAGATATAACTGCCTCCACGTTCCCTCGTGAAAGCTGAGAACACGTATAGGGCTGCGTCACACCTGGTTCTTCCCCCAATCCCCCTCCTGTACCCCACTGCAAGCACCCTGGGACACACAATGTTAAGTAAGCAGCAATCGAAAAAAAAAAAAGGTGCAAAGAATATTCCAAATGTTTATTATGTATTAAAAATACCGCAAATAAGCCATACAGTTCATTTCACAGTAACCTAAACAACATTGTTCAAGAACTTGAGAAGTCAACAAAGAACAGTGCAGTTCCAACAGTGACAACAGTTACCTTAGTGCCGTCGGTCCCTCTTTCTTTGCCAGCAATTCTTTCCTGTTTACAGAACACTAGATATGGTTCAGCATCTTGTTTACCGAGGAGAACTCAGGACTGTTCCCACAAGCACTCCACTTGTGGGAGGTGCTGCTTCTGGGTATTATTCTTCTAAAGTAGCCACGGATCTGGCTAGTGCAGGCTGAGGTGGGTGTGATGCACACGACCTATTTCCAAGGTACCCGTGCATAGACCCTTTTACCAAATCTTTGGATAAAGTTCAAAAGTAAACTTGAAAAGGAGGGCTATTAGAAATCCTTTCCAAAAAGACAGAAAACCAAGCAAGTTCCATGGGGAAGTGGTTTTTAAATGAACATCGAGAGAATGACGACACTTTTATCCTCACTCTCAACCAGCTCCTAGAAGGATCCTTTGCTACCAACATCCCAGGCAGGCACCTGGTGACAACGGTGACAAGAATCAGGCACCAAGTCCTGAATATGTAACGAGAGTTCAGGTCACTGTCAGCTGTGTGAAAACTTGGAAATGTATATGCCTTAGAAGCAATTCTGCTGATTTCATGGTGATTTTCCCCCGTGTGTGTTTTGGAGTGTACTATTATTGTTAGCATGCTTGCTATACATGGAACACGAGAGGTGCAATTTTGGTCCTTCTCTTCCCTCATTCAAATTCATGAGCATTTTTACAGAAAATCCTCTAGCACAGAAAAATTAGGCCTTTCCAGGAAAGACACAGCCTCATTATGTAAACAGCCCAAAAGTATGACAAAAATATTACTGTACCCTCTTGAAACTAATCCCATCCTTCAGATGTCCCTTCTAAGCACTGATCTTCTGCACCAGCACCTGAAGATGCTGGGAAAGAAGCCTGTGATCACACAGAAGGAATCTCTCCAGCCACCTGGTGGGACACCCCTCTTGGGTCTTAGCCCCAGGCAACGTATTTACTTCAAAGCTTCCCTCTTGGGGTTCAGCTAACCCCTTGTTAGCTCCTTGGTACAGGTGAAGGACTCACAGAAAGATACTACAGCTCAACTGATGCCTGGTAAACTGACCACATGGCCGAGTCCCATACTGTAGAAACAGACGAGCTGCTTCAAACCTGGTCCACACTTAAGTTTACCAGCCTAAACAGTTTAAGATAGGGGTGTAGTTGTAGTTTTGTTCATTTGTCTCTTAAACCAAAACATACTAGTAAAATTCCCAGTCTGTACAGCACTATGCTTATCATACACGAACAGCTGTAGCCCTTCTGTGTGGGGTATCTAGTGTCATAGTGTGAAACACCTTCACTTCATGCCATTAAATATGTGCCCATGCTAACAAGGCCGTAGTGCCTTAGTTACACCACTACAGTTACAGCGGTACAACTTTATAGAGAAGATGAGCCCTTAGAAACTCAACCCCCAACTAAACTCAGGTTTTCTTAAAACAAAATTTAAAAAAAAAAGTAAACAAAAAACCAAAAACACTACACAAAAGAGAAATAAAGGAAATAAGCAGAACTGTCTCTATTATTAAAGTATTCTTATTCTCTTTGGAGGTATCAAATTGCTTTTAAAAAGAGTAAAAAACTGGGCATACAAAAGCTATTCTCCTTGATCCATTATTTGCACAAGGAGCACCACTGCCTAAACTTTTTCATGTATTTTTTCTACTTTCACAAACAACCTTTCCAGATCATTCCTCAGGTCATCTATTGAGCTCTTCACAGACTCCAAGTTGTTCTCATTATTTTCAATTTTCACCGAGTAGGAGACTAAACTATCCACTGCAGTTCTTATCATTTTCAAATCAGAATCAACCTGGCTGACAGAAGATCTCAGTTCATCTACAGAGCCTTCCACAGAAGAAAATTTTTCAAGATAGCCTTGAGAATGTGCTTGACCCGCCTGAAGATTTCCTTGATCCAGCAAAGTACTAATTTGTTTCTGGACATCCTGAAGAGCACCAGAGGATGGCAGGTCACTGATGCTTCTCCTCAAGTTTTCCACATCATTGTACAGCGAGGTCTGTGTTTCACCAAGATTTTTCAGAATGTCTGTGACAGAAGTTATGTCCATATCTGAGATCCCCTGAAGAGCAGTAATGCTTTGTTCTAGGGTTCTGAGCTTATTCTCGTATTCTGCCTCCTTGGAAAAGAAAGATTGCAACTTTTCACTGTTTTGAGCAGCATCAGAAGTTAGTGACTTCAGGCTGTCTTCTATGTGCCTCAATCGAGACTCCAGTCCTTCACTGTTCTTCCCAAAAGTTTCTAATGCTTTTCTGAAGAGTTCATTTTCTTCCCATTTGGTAAGGTCAGCTTTAACTTGCAGTAAATCTTCATCAAGTCTTTTAATGTCATCAGGGAAGTGCATAATAGAATCCTCAGCTCTCAGAACTTTCTCTTGTAAAGCTTTTAATGAAAGGTGTTCGGTATCCGCAGCCTCTTTGAATTTCTCGTGTTCTTGTTTGAGGTTGACTAGCTCTTTCACTTCAGTATACACATCAGACTCCATGGAGTCTATTGTACTCTTCAAGGCCTCTATGTCCTTTTCTCTGGTTTTCATGGATGCTTGCATCTCATCAAAAGCATCTTTTAGCACCTTAATTTCATGTTTGTACACATCTGCTTCTCCTAGTGAGTTAACCTTTGCTTTCATGTTGTTGATTTCATCTTGGCTCCTTTGCTGGACTTCAGTGAATACAGCTATGTTATCATTTATAGACTTGGTTAGTTCCGTTAGTCTCTCTTCCACTGTGTTTTCCAGAGATGTGAAGTCTCGTTCCCTTGCATCCTTCACCATGTGGATGCCGTCAGACAAGTCTTTCAAAATTTCATTTTGCAGCTTCTGAAGCACTTCACTGATCCGGTTTATTTCACTCTCCCCTTGCTTAACAGCCTTCTCAGTAACCTCCTGCTTCTGCTGAGCAATTTTCATCATGGATTCAAATTCTCCAAATGTGGCTTGAAGAGAACGCACCTAAAACAGAAATCCACATGGTTAATACTTACAATTTCATCCTTACCTACTTCCTCACCCTTTGTGTCTGAGATCCTTATGGCCCTTGTCACCATATGAAATGATGACCTTGATCACCTTCGTGCTCCCTACCCGAGGTGCACCGGTGGCATACAGATACAGGAGGCACAGAAAGCCCAGCATCTAGAGCCTTACAGCTCTATAGATACATACAGATGTATGGATCTGCTGAGGATCCCTGGCCTCACTGACCTGCCACAGGCAATCCAGGAAATCCACGGCAGTAAAAATCAAACTCAAGTCTCCAGAGTTTGCAACCGGACCCCTGAGCCATTCCAACCCTATATGATTCCTGGTTCTATGGGGAGAAGCAGGGAGGGGAGAAAAAAAACCCAAAAGAGCATCTTGCACCAGCTTCTGAATACAGAAAAGCCGGGATTGGGCGTTAGCAGGCAATTGTACACAGGCCAATTCCTGAACATGAAAGAAGTTTCAAAGTAGACAAGAAAGAGTAACAGGAAAAAATTAGGGGGAAAGGGGAGCTGGGAACAGCTCCGGAATGGAAGCAGTAATCATGACGTTCTGCGGCTCCCAGACACCAATGGAGACACAGATTTTTCTTGTTAACTATTTTTTTAAGATAAAAAAAAAACCATAGAAAGGCTTTAATGTTCTAAATACTTAGTACCTCATTAATCACACACATGCACACACCCACATGCTCTTGGTGAAGAGGGGCACACGTGTGTACGCAGACAGAGAACAAAGCCCTAGCAGCTGCCAAGGGGACTGACTTGCATCTATCTCAGATTGATACTCACAGAAAGTTGTTACCACCGGATCAGGCATGCCATTAAGCCTCCCAATTACAAAAACTATCTTTACAGCTGGTTTTAGTAGCAGCAAGAGGGAAAAGGTGAAGAGGTGAGTGGCCACCACGTTCATTTACTGTCACATTGGAGGGTAAGATCCAGGCACAGCAAAGGGGAAGCACGCGTTACTTCATTCTGGGGCCAAGCAGAGCATCGCTCTCAAGACTGTGGAGAAATCTTTTTGTGCATGTGTGGGTTGTATTTTTTTAAACTTTGTTAAGGCGATGTAAGAACTCCCACTGGCTGCAACAGGAATCCACCACGGAGAAAATACCTCAAGGCTTTGGCAGGGTGGCAAGTGCTGAGTAATGCATGTTGCCTTGCCCCACACTGCTGCCTGTGTCTGAGGGGTATATTAATCAGTCATGCCACATGGGCTGCCATGTTTACTGATTAGATACACAGCTGGAGGGGTGGTTTTATTTTATAAATAGAAGGAAGTATATTTTAGATGTTCTTAGAAAGAAATATACAGAGTTTCTTTTTTTTTTTCTTTATGCTTTTTAACTGAAGGAGACTCCAGCAGTTCCCAGTCAGACTGAAACTAGAAATTAATCTCAAAAGACTGAACAGGTTTACCAATTAAAGTTATTCACATGTATTTTTGCAAAGCTAAATCCCTGGTGAAATCCTCCTTGGTTTGTATGGAAGTCTATGCTGTGAAAGGACTGTAGAGTTTGGCCATGAGACTTGCCCTTGCTCCAACAGATCCCCCCAGTTTGAAGAATACCCATAAAGATGGCTTCCATTTTTCTCCCCTCTTCTGTAAAAAAGGTTTGTAATGACTTTCCATTCCCCATACTTCTGTTCTCTAGTGCACACATACGCAACTGGAAACGAACTAAAGCAGGTAGTGCCACCATATGTATTGCAGCAGGACACCAGCCATTACACTGAGTTATCAACCTCATTTTCTTACATCTTAGCTATCATTCATTCTGATTTTTTCCCACATAGACAGTTTTCTTTGTATCACTATGAATGAACTGCAGAAATCTGGAAGGAGTGCACAAGAAAATTCTCCTCGCCCTCTTATGACAGAATTTATTTTCTTTGACGCATTGCAACCAAATAACCAAATTTGTATTTGCAATTAATTATCTGCAATTTTTAGTCTAAGGAAAGGCATCAGAAATGTCCAGGGGAACTCTGCTGAGGGCCAGGATGTCTCCACTGCTATACATTTGAGAGACAGCTCCCACCCCTCTGCAGTGGCAGTACTTTATACTTGCTCCTCCACTGCATTTGGGCAATGTGTAAGGGTGCCCAAAGGGTGTAACTTGAAGCTATTCTCTTGTACTTCAGCTGTACCAGCCACGTGAAGATCAGAGACCTCTGATACAATAAAATGGACCAAGGTCTTCACATTAAACCAGCTTCTAATCTCATCTGTCCTAACCAAGAGCAACCAGGACCCAAAGCAAACCTCTTGCACAAGAAGCGTAAAACTCACAACTTCACAGTAATAGCTCATATTCACTACAGTTGCTTTGTGTGTGCACCTACGTGTGAGCTTGCCTGCCTGGTGTTCATGGTTGGTAATGTTTGAAACCATAGCCCTTGAAACATTTAACATCATAAATAGCAGATAAAAATATGTCGATAGTGAACAACTATTGTCTTCTTTAACTGGTCATACTAGCGTGTGTTTAAACACCAAACGACCTTGGCCTCTCTGAGAATTGTGCTACATTAAAAGACTAAACTTCCACATCATTTCCTTTCTCCTCCTACTGCTGATGTGTAAAGCAGATGAGTTTATATAACGCTCACTCCTGAGAGCAGCCCTCTGCAGTGGAAGACTGAAGGGAAAAGCCAGTCCCTCCTGGCAGCAGCCTGTGCTGACGGCACTCCCCAAGTACAACACAGGACCCTACACTTCTGTAAAGCAACGAGATACAGCCTGGTCTCCTCCCACTCAAGCATGTTCTTCTGTAAAGACACCACCAGACCACAGCAAGCAAAGCTTTCAAGGGTTACATTGAAACTCTGCATGATCTCCTCCCTCCACTTCTATTCTTGCACCACTGGATGTATGTCTAGCATCGGCCACCTGCTAATTACGGGCAAAAAGTTTCAGTTCTCTTTGAAACAAACTATTTATAAACTTCTGGTATGTATCTCTCTCCTAGAACACGTAACCTATGATTTTCTGCAACAACATGGGGATGGAGGCAGCAAATTGTACCCATTCTTATGCTTGGAAGGACCAATATATTGCAAACACATCTGGGTTCTATACTCATGTACTGTAATCTCACGTCCCGTGTGTCCTGCCATTGCAATGCCTTCCTTCATACAAAGAGTCTGTAAAAAAGCCTGAAAAAACTAAGAAAAAACAACAACTCTTGCTAGTTCAAATCACAGCCAGGTCATCACTGAGTGAAAACCCAGGATTTAAAATTAGCTTCAGAAACGATATTATAGCCCTGCGTTTTACCACCCTTTTCTCCCTCTCATGTGAGTTTTCCTTTTCCTCCTTCTTGGAAGGAAGAGGAAACACCAGGACTGACCCTACAAACTCCACGTGTGCCGGCTGCCGCGCTTCCGGGAGCGGCACAGAACGGAGGATCTCTGCCAGCATCCGTCCCACCGCCCCGTCCCCCGCTCGCAGGGGACACGGGGCATCTGCAGGGCTCCCGGTGCAGAAAGCAGTCAAGCTGAGAGAAGAATTTCCTTTCCTTTGATCCGACTCAGCCATAACTTTAGATACTGCTTTCTAACCCACCTACCTACACCCTAGACAGGAGCTCGATTGTATGTCGGTGATATGCCTTCACAGACGCCATTTTTAAAAGGTATTAGGCACCCTAAGACATATCCAGATGGACAGTGCCACTGGTGAAACTCTAGCTGGAGGGCTAATGGGGCCTGAGTGAACAAAATGAGGAGGGAAATGAGCGTTCCTTTGGCTTCGCTTGAGCCACACCCTTTGCCAACAACTTCACAGCTCTTGCCTCGTCTTCATGGACACGGCAAGTCTCGCTCCCTCGGCCAGGGGCAGCTGCAGGAAGGTGGAAGGCAGGGTATGGCAGGAGTGGCGTTGCTGGCAGAGCCTCTGCTCTTGGGTGAAGCCGGCGAGGGTTTTGTTGTCCGGAGCGTGCGGGGGCGTCGAGGCAGGATCCTGCCACGTCCTGCTCCGCTGCGACACCACCTCCCCGGGCACCCACACCTGCCCTGCCCGCTCCATGTGGTGACCTCTGCCGCAGGCGGTTTTTAAGGGCCTGTAAAATCACGGCCGGCAGGCTCTTGGAGCTGCAGGTCTGTGCCAAGGCGTAAGCGTGCTGCCTGCACGGCAGAAAATGGCTTCGCGCCCCAGCCCGCCAGCAGCGAGGCCGGGAGAGGAGCCGGCTGCGGGATCACCCGGGGGGGCCGCCCCGGCCCCGCTCCGCTCCCCGCCGGGAATTCCTCGCTTTACCGAGGCCACGTTTGCAGGCCCAGACTCGATTCGTCCCGCTAATGCCATGAAAGCATCTTTAGGGAGGGGGAGAGGCGGGGGCTGGAGGGGGAGGGGGAACGGGACACGTCTGCTTTCCCGCAAGCCGGGCTACCCGAGAGCGGCGGGGCCGCTTATTTAAGGGGTGATCCCCCCCCACCCCGTTTCCCCGCTCCGTGCTCACTCCTGCAGG